GGGGGGCTAAATAGTATGTTTGTAAAACTTACTACCAGCTAAATCTCATCTCCCAGAGACACCATTTTTAGGTCACCTACTTTCTTTTAAATTGGGGAGGAGATGCTGCTGGGATTCGTATTTCATTGCGTCGCTTAGGATAAAGGAGGAGGAAATGCATCACTCATAAGTAAAAAGAATACTCCATCGATAGTAAGCTGACTTTGGGGCCATATCCATCCTCTGGAGATACTCTTCATGTATTGACTTTTTCCGTTTTAATTTAAGGTTCATAGCTTTCATTAATTTCTAACATATTTTCGTCAAACTGTTATATTTTCCACCTGGTGACTTGCTTATTAACATGTATACCTAAATAATTTCTCTTGGTCAAATAACCAGCCTCGCATTGAAGTTCCCTTTTTAATTTTTAACATCGTAAATAGACAGAAAGAAGTAACGTGCAGTTGTCTGAAGCATTACAATGCCGAAGCCTAAGAAATCAAACTTGTATTGCAGATCTATATTGAGTGATCTGTCAACTTATCATTTTATTCCAGGCGATGTTTTCTGAAAAGAGCCAGTGCCCGTAAAAGGGTCTTTACTTTAAACCAAAACACCAGTTGTACATGTAGATAACACGTTGTAAATCTATAGTAGTTCATTTAAATAAGGTAAATATCGATCTGAAGCATGAATAATGAATTCCCTGTTATTAAACATACTACTGATTTATTTGGGTCAAAACAAATTCAGATTTTTAGATCTGAAAGTTAAGATCAGTTTTCAGGCTATGGCTTTTTTGTGAAACCAGTCCGGCAAAATGAAAGATCACTTTAGAATGGTGGAGGTAACGAGTATAGTCAAATGGGGTTCAAAGTGCTTTAAAAATGTTTGACCAATTGCATGGGGTTATTCTAAAATCTATGTAAGAGCATGCATTGAACTACTCTAAAACAAAATTAGAGGTTTAGACTGTATGTAGCCTATTCAAGAGCATAAGAGAGCCACGTGAGCTTAATTTCAGTTGTTCTAAAGCCTAAGTAGAATCACGGGTGACATTTGGGCTTTTTCTAAAACAGATAAGGCCCGGGCCAAGCTGTACGCGCCTTCCAACTCAATTGGGCACGGGCCAAGACAACGGGTCCCAGCTAGATTTTTGGACTTGAATATTGACCCAAATTGGCCTCCTATAAACCCATGTAATCCACTGCCATATTGCAATGTGATCAGAGGCTAAAAACCATATTAAACACCAAACATCTTCTATAGATTGGGAGGCTGTTTTTACCTTTGGATATTTGGAACAGCTTTGCTTTGTAACCGCTTTTCTCAATGGAGATGAGGTAGATATTGCAGGCATCCGTTCAAGATATTAATAGGGTTATCAACCTATCCTTTCGTAAACTGAGATTTTCTCAGAATTTATTCATTCATCAGTATAGGCCATATCAATTGCTTATTTTTAAATGAGAACAGCACATCCTATGACCGGGAATCCCAGATGTATGTGAAATTAACAAGAATTCCAAAGTTATAGGCATATGACAGATGGTTTAACAGGAGAGGTTCAGCCATGCAAGTTAAATGGCGAACTATTCTTGTCTAGCTCTAATAAAGATGCCAGCTAGGAATTAATGTGCACTAGTAGGCCTACTGTCATTATAATAATAAGAAAATTGCAATGCTGTTTCCAGATAAAAGTGAGTCAACATGTTTGCAATGAGTTTGTTAACTTAAGACATTTGATTATTCAAGAATGCGTTTGATATGTCAAAATGAGAGGATAATATATTTAACTGTCCAGGTTTGCTATTGGGCAGTTGATCTGACCTTTGCCAAACTATAGCACCTTTAGCGACGTATGTAAAGAGGCAAAGTTTATTATTCGGACCTAAAATAGTTGCATTTTTTAATGAAAACCACTCACTGAAAACAACGTATTCACGATCCTTAAAGTGTTTATTATGCTATAAAATTAGAATAATACATTGTGCGTAATATAAGAAAGACTCGGTTGTACAAAATCAACACAAAGAAAACATTTGAGAGTCTCCCTTGTCAATACTTAAAACCAATTACCGAGCTCTCGGTTAATTCTGTTTAAACATACTGTGTGTTTATTGGGGATTGCTTGTCTTAACTGTAGTAAATCTATAGTTAGTCTCATTTGTCAAAATAATTATATGTCACATGAAAAAACCATACAAAAATCATATTTTCAAAGGCATTGTATATAGTAAACCTTATTATATATAAGTCAATTTTTTCTTGTGCAGTATATCTAAAAAGTGCGCTTACAGAATTTAGAAAATACGCTTAGCAAATATGTTTCTACAAATTATACATAAACCTTCAACGGAATAGTATTTATAACAAATACCTAAGAAAAAGAAAATTCATCCAGTTTTGTCTTAGCACTCCTGCCAGAGAAAGATTAGGTTACAGTACATACCGTTTCTAACCAATTCCTGTATACTTTTCCATTCCCGTGTTTATACGGGTCTTCTGTGACAGCGACTAGTGTGACCAAACTAGTGTGACCACACTTACAAACAGTAATACCATCACCACGCTCAGTTTTCAGGTAACAGATTGGGATAGTAAAATCAAGGCAAGTAAGCTTTAAGGGCTCAAATGTATGACCACCTAATGTAATATACCTTACATGCGTTCGAAGAATATTGAAATGACTATATTCCACCTTCCAAATTCAGCACAGTGATTAAAATGCAAGAAACAGAAGACAATAGAAAATTTACACTTTTACGGCTGCTGTATGGAGTATCTGTAATTTTACAATTCTTTGGTACAATAAAATTTACCAAGCTATATTATGCTATAATAATGTAAAAACTTTCAAATTGAAATATCAGTAAAGAGAGGTCATGTACATGTACTTAAAGAGCTCTGTCAGTGCCCAAAGACTTAGTTTGCCCTAGGGTTTGCGCTTAACTGTACATGGTATTATGGTTGACACTTATAGCTCCATATCAGCGTCAGCCTTATTAAAAACTTATGAGATAAATACAGCCTACTTACACCACGGCGTATGGAACAAAAGGATAAAATTTTCCTACATCTCCGAATAAAAAAGATGGATCGATTTGAATATCTCCTCGTGTATTACATTTCAGTTGTTTTCGAAATAAATGCAAATCACAGATTGATTGCTTTGTCAACCCACCGCCGTTCAATTACCGTGCAATATTAGATAAATTACAGTTAACAATTGCTAATCATTCAATCCTTAACTGGGTTTCTGGGGTTTGGTAATTGGCTTATTAGGCATCTCAAGGTAGTACCTCCACTGTCAAAAGGCATCGGCTGCGTTCAGAAATACAGGCTCAGAAATAAGTAGGCACTTGATGATAACGACTCTCTAAATCCACCTAAGATAATCCTGAACTTTTTCTGTCAGCACAATAAGGAATTACATTGTAGGTACAGTAGGAGTGCCATCAAGCGTTTCCGTACCTAAGTTCAAACCACTACCGTTCAGTGTTTTGTTTCTTCAGTTCAAATCGCAGATTTATATGATACTAAGCATTGTGTAAATGATATCAGATCCATTCATATCAGTTTGATTATGGGCTTTTGTGAACCATTATCTTTTCGTAGAGAATATAATTGCGATGTCATTTTCAATATGAACAAGTTGCTTCAGAAAATAAATCATTGTATATCTGAACTGAGGAACTCATAATGACCTTTCATGTGTTTCATCATTTCAAAAACATTAGAACGAATGCTACAAACAGTGTTGGGGTAAATTGTGACCGAGCACTACTAAATTTCGGTGCCTCACTGCGGTATTAAATTACTTTTGACAAGTTCATATCTCCAAGTTCATTTACCTTTTATTTCCCATACCTAGTATAGCTCCTTCAGGAAAATAATTAAGATTCTCGGCTTTATGAATATGTGAACACCTGTGACATTGCATGATGATACAAATTACGGTACGCGTCTTTCAGAATCAAAGAAACTTAAGAGAAATACGATGATAAGATTATAGAAAAGTCGGTATGAGCTACTGGTACTTATTTGACTCAGATATTTTATCGTTTTCATTGATATACATAGCTGTCTGGAAATGCAAGTTTTTAAAATTGGTAAAACAGGCCGAGGGGATTCGTCTTGACAGGGTGGGCTGTTTTCCCTTACTCTGCATGGTCTTATTGTGTAAAACATTAACACTGCAATCGGGAAATATCCAACGCTCCTAATATGGGTCTGTTGCCTTGTTTCTTACATATATACATGTACTTATGCTTACATGTCCAATCTTTAACTCACGTTTGTATACGTGTTTGTGAGTATGAGCACACGTGTATGTGCGTGCGTACGTGCGAGGAGCGCATAGGGAAACCTTTGAACGATAAGCAGGCCTATAATACAATCCTTTTGATACAGCCTGTATTATTGTTATAGCAGATTTCACAGTTACACCGACCTTTCTGTCAATAGCTTCATTCTCGTTCACATCCCATTCTCTTTAGATCTTCAGTTGTGTCCAAACTGTCAACCGATCAGTTAAATAGTTGTCTCATCCTCTACGGCTTTAAGAATTGAATATTGGACTCATCCTCTCTTCACGCTCAAATAGTCGTATTCAGACTGTCATAGCAGGATATCTAATATTCTGATGGAGATGAAATATGGTATATCTTGCACAATACAGTGTATAATTTATAAATAAGCGTCGATTGGTTACATCTTCTAAAACAAAGTGGAAAATATCTGCTTTAAATGTATCGAGCGGTCCATGATGTTGGCTCTTTAAGTGTTTTCTTGCTCTTGTTATACCAGTTGGTTTTAAATGAGAAAAGGACGAAAATGACAGAAGAGCGATCACATAACTGGAAATCTGTTTCATTTATAGTGCCAGAAGTTATTAAAAAGTCCGTAAACACATGAAAAGGGACCCATCTAGGGAAAAAAAGCGCATTTTGGGGACTGTCTTAGTGCGCTGACTTAGGAGTCTTATTTTCATTAGAGAAACAATGAACGCAGAATCTATGTGAGAATTTTCAAGCTTTATACCGTACCATTTTAGCTAAAGGTTCCTAGTCCTAGTCAACGCATTGTTCAAACTATTCATCAGTTAAAAGCAATTTTTTAAGAAAAGGTATAAAGTTTACAGTGCAACTTTTGATAGTAACTTTAAACCTCTTCTACTTAAGCTATGTTAATCTACTTGAATGCATTCAAAATGCTTGACTTTAATTTCGTTATTTAGTAATAATTCTACAAAATCTGCCAGTTTTCGTATCTGTGGCTACCCAAATTTTCTAAAATTGAACCAAAATAAGATTTCAGATGATGAATTTGGTAAAAAGCATTTTAAAGAATAACGGTGGTTTGAAACCAACGTCTACTAGTGACCAAATACAAAATTCGATTTGGATCCCTGCGCGGCAGCTGGGTCTGAGTAAATCTGAAACTTGCAGCTACAATTCTTAAAACGTATTATCGTATCAAAGGTAGAGCTTTGAGAGGATGTAAAGTAATCAACGCTTATTCCGGAATTAAAATCACATATTCGTTGGGGAGGAGGGGGGGTGTGTGCAAGACATATGTTCTTGGATGGATGTTATATTTCTAATTGTTATTACATTCTTCTTATATGATAGAGAAACGCAGAGATATATGTTGTTGATGCCCGGTGCCCAAATGTTGTTATGTTTGATATAATCCTCATCCCCAGAGCGATCCAATTCCAGCGGCAAAAACGGCATATCCAGGAAACAAGTTATATCACAGACAGTAGATATAAAGAAACTCTTGAAAGAGGAATTCATTCCCTCGTGCTACTACAGGCGTACATGCTGCGAGCACGTGTGCCTTTGATGTAAATAATTACGTCTTCCTCATACAGAGAATGGGTACTTTTAGAAAAAACATGGTGTATTCTAAAAACTGTTGCCATGCTTGTTCAGTCTCTTCATTCCAGTGTTCCGCTGGTAATCTTGAATGTAGAGCCTCTATGAATTGAACTACCATCAACTGCAAATAGAGAACAGGATAAGGGCTTGACAATGCCGGCAAATGTGCTACTTTAAAGACAACAAAGGTATAGATAATATGAAAAGGTAATGGATTTGCTTCCTCGCGGTTTTAATATTAAAAAAAAGGGAAAATGAGATCAAACTTAGTATTTTGTATTAAATTGCTATAGATGTACATGTAGGAGCAACTATTTATGTGATCAATATTATTTCAGCAAACAGGCTTGAAAAATATATACAAACTGACCGTCTGTAAACTAATACTGTTTGTCACATCATATGTACAAGCCCTTTTGCTGCAGGGATTTCTATCACATAAAAATTGAGTAGCCCTAGTCTTACTGACATGAAATATATCCATAAATGTCTACTTTTGCCACGCACAAAGGCCATATAGTCTCAAAATGGTTCATTCAGCAGAGGCATCAGCCATTTGCTAGCTTTGAATAGAACAGTACGCCCTATGATGCTGGTAGAAAATACATTAGACTAATTTCAGATATGTTTACCTTTGAGTCTTAATGTATTTGTAAAATACGTTTCAAATAATATTTATTATACTCCTTGTAAAATACGTAGGTCAAAGGGGATTTCCTGGAAAGCATTCCCTTTGAAAATTGTAAAGTCTTTCTTGCTCATATTTATACCATGAGGTAGGCTATATTATTACAGAATTATAATTTTAATTATTTATGCAATAAGTAGACGAATGACAAACATGACTTTGACCTGTAGAATCGGTACTGCTCTTCTTATTAGTGAAATTGTCGATCGCAACTCCCTCAAAAATAATAACAAAATACAAAAAACAAGGAGCAGGCAAAATATGTCAGCAGTATTTGAAGTATATCTAGAGAGCCTGAATACATCAAGACAGGACTTTCATGTTAATGCCTGAAATAAAATAGTGACTTACAGAATCATTATAGAGTCAATTAATTCTGGTTGACAATCGGTATAATAAAACAAATAAAGCACACATCCAAATGGAACTACGGAGAACAGAGTCCAGTGAATGTTCCTAACTCCCCTCACTGAGCTTTTTTTTTTCACAGTTACATCAAGACTGTTCTCTGTTTGTTTAAGAGGAAGCTAGAACGGGAGTGATTTATTTGACTAGAAAGAATAATAATCAAATAACCAACGTTTATGAATTAAAGCAAACTCCTAAGAGTACAAAGTGAGAACTAAATTGATTCTTACGTCAACTATCCTGGGTTCAGCATGGTAGTCAATATGCCTCTCTCCAAGTTCCAGAAATACGTTGTGAATCATCACTGGTTTGTGTATCCGCGATACGGCCTTGTCAACGGACTGCATCACCCGCAGTGTGTGTCTCTTCAGTATGTCGCTGTATTCCAGCTCTTCTTGGGACATGTCCTTCAGGTGCAGGAAAGCCTCTTTTACATCGGGATGTGTTTCAAATAGTCTAAAAATTGAATATGATATAGCATATCAAAAATTTATAGTTAAAAAGCGTTCCAAATAGTTTAAAGAGAATAGATGCCTGTCAGACTCTAACTACGTGCACTCCGTCCAGTGTACGGTTCTACGGTTTTTCCTCTGACTGATAATTACCAATTACTCTTAAGATTTGATTTTAGATCTTGGTGTGGTTTCATACACACACAAACACACATAAATAAATAAATAAATAAATAAATAAATAAATAAATAAATAAGAAAAAACCCTCATATCCAAAAATCGGCCTAAACTTTAAGGCCAAAAACACAGTCTACTTCAGTTGAAAATAATTCTATTGCTATCCACTTAAATAAAAAGCTTGACCCTGACCCTAACCTATAACAGCCAAATATTTTATTCGCTGCACGATCCAAAGCCTTGACAGCCTTTAAACCACAAATCACTTTTTACGAACGGGTCCCCCATGTCTCATAGGGCACTATTTACACAGGTGGCGCAATACTTTTGTCACCCCTCAATAGTTGGGCTACGCAAATTTATTATGGATTAAAGTAAAGGTAAAGAACACTAGGGAATTTATTTATTTATTTATTTATTTATTTATTTATTTTGGAAAACAGTTCCCTGGGCCACATGCACAAGAGAGTCGTACTTCATCTTACACTGACTACTGTCATCATCATCATTGTTCTTCGTCCCGCGTGGGACATAAGGCCACCACTGACTACTGTGACAAGGCTTAATTATAATACTGCTTACTTGAAGGTGTCTTTTGAAGAAAAAAAAATGAGGATCTTCAATAACAAACTATTTATTTCCCGTGAGGAACAATTAATGCACAGAAAAAAATAAAGTTTTTTTTTTCAGCGGCACGATGCACACAGTGATACACTTGAGCGAGATTATGTCTACATACATATCAGATTGATCAACTATTTGGCAGATGACAGAAAAACACTGGGATGGGAAATTCTCGACTTCTGTAATTTCAGTTATTTCCCCTCTATCAACACGTACAACACGTACTTAAAGGGATAATAACTCTTCGTTTTGGCCAAAAAATAAATTTTCCTGGAGTAAATAACAATTTTCTCATACTTACCAATGGTTAATGAATCCATTTCTACATTCAAAGTTAGTCCCTGTTTTTTTTTCTAAAAAGTTTGGTTTTTTGTTAAAATCTCTTAAGAGATTACAACAGAGTATTGCCATCAATGGAGGTCACGTAGTCTGAAGACAAGCTCAGATATCAGAATAATAGCTTTAACTCCTGTTTTTGTCGTAAAACAGAATATGTTATATTTCTATGAGTTATTCACAATGTTTTTATTGTGAAATATAGACCTCATACGAAGAGTTATTATCCCTTTAACCCGCATTCAATTGAAACCTGTCATTTCTGTCAGACCTCCCCACTAATATAACAAAGACCACAGGAAAATCCCTTGAAACCATGAATTCACAGATTCCCGTTGATTGGACAACTGACGTATTGTTATTTTTCCCCTGGGCTCCAATGTGTTCATATCAAGGCAACTCCTCGTAAAATACATCACTTAAAGCACCTGTTATTATGTTGTACTACACGAGTAAGCATACTCGTACTTGAGCTCGAGGTAGATTTACGCCTACAGGCACATTCACATATTGCAATGGCAGTAATAAGATACACCCAAAGTCGTCCCGTCTACTTTGTGGCAGTGTTGCCTTCCAGAAAACTGGTTTGCATTCAGTGATAGATATAATTCATTAAATGTGTTTAAAAACCCCACTGTGCTACGTCCCTTTAAGGTTATAACCAATGGGGTATAATAACTCATCAAACGCCAGTGGGTTAAAACACGCTTAATTCGTGAATGGCATGAAAAGCATTCTGTCTGTCCATCTGTCCGCCTGCCTGTCTGTGTCTGTCTGTCTGCCTGCCTGTCTGTGTCTGTCTGTCTGCCTGCATGTCTGTCTGTTAATCATTGTAAATAATGGTTATAAACTTTATGGAACGACTAGACCGGTGCCAAGTTGTATCACAGCGCACAATAACTTGGATTATTTTGATTAATCAAAACTAATTAGTGATTGTAACCTGCCATTGGTAACCTGGTAACCTGCTTCTGAAGCTTTTCAGTTGGATGTTAAGCAAATTTACATCTTACTCATAGCAACGAGCAAAGCTAAGGTGAATCTGCTACCTGATCATCTTATGTGCGGTTTATCCGATGAGATACAGTCGTTCGTCTTAGTCACAGTCGCATCGTGTAAGCCGCCTGAATTCATCCGTCTTTCTGACACGCAATGCAAGGAAACCTCACGTTATTTTGTACAAAACGCTACATCTACTTAGATAATGGCACCATGCTTCAGAAGACTTACACATGTAGTCATAGCATGCTATATTCTTGGAATCTCTCCATGTTGAACTTTAAGAACACAAGCAGACGCCACTTTTGGTTCAGATACACTCTCGTAAACCTAACAAGAAATCACGCTCCTTTTTTCAGAGATATCAAATATTATATGAAGCAGAAAAAAAACAAATCGGCTACAGTAATTGGTAAACTAAGAAGGACTAAAACACAACCTGTTTCTGGAGTGGAATATAATTTAACGTCTAACAGATGAACTCGATCATCTGGCAGTCAGACCTTAGAACATTTAACGTAGATTTACAATTTCTAGCAGCCGTTAGCTGTTAACATGATGAATTGAGAGCGGTATTGGCCTATTGGAGACTCATGTTACGTGGTTGAATAACCATAACGCAAGACAAATTGATTGTCAGCACTTCACTTGTCCGCTGATCGCTATGTCATTTCTAGTCGAATTTATATCCATCTTTGAAGTGTTTAGCAGCAGAATGCCATGGCATTAACCGGTAGGGTTTTGAGTCAGATCCTCTGGAAGCACCTGACTCGTTTTATGATGATATTGGTTTGCTTTTTAAACCCGTGCGAACTAAACTCCATGTGAACGGTTAAAAAAACAGCCCTAATCCTTTAGAGATATGTCGTAGTACAAGAAGGTTTAGTTGAAGCATGAAACACGTTTCGATCGTCAAGGAAAAACATATAGTTCACTGGAGAGGGCGATCATGCAAGAGCATTTCATTTTTTTCTCTTAAAGTGCACATAGTGTAAAACAGCTGAGACATAATTATAAGGGGAATGGAAGAGTATCAGAGACTGGATTGACTATCATTTCATTTCAATACCAACTGCTGGGCTGATATCTACCTAATTGATGCTAAAACCGTCAACTGTTAATGGATCTTAATTTCGTACGCTTTGCCGTTTAAATGTTTAATACATGTAGCGTTTTAGGAATTAATCAACTATGAAAACAAATGATAATACGGGATTATCTAAATTTCAATATGCCCACTTTTCAAGTATATTAATGAGAGTCAGACTTCAACGCTAAAGCATGTCTACAATGGATTGCATGATTTCGAATTCGGTGGTTAAAAAGATGAAAAATTAGAAATTCTAACATGCTAAAAGCCAGTTCCCACTGAACACACAACTCTCTCTCTCTCTCTCTCTCTCTCGTGTGTGTGCGCGGGGCCACTGTTGCTATAGCAAATGGACATACATTAGTGAATAAGATAGTGCCAAGTCGTTCATAGTCTTCCACCCTAATTGCCTCTCCCAGGCACGTTTTCAGGATTATATCTACATCAAAACACCTTCCCATGCAGGAAATGGATCGTTTTTTTTTTTTTTTTTTTTTTTTTTTTTTGCGCAAAAAACACATATACACACTCTTTATCCATAAGGTTGTCATGTGTTTTGTTTACAAATTATCACCTCTAGCAAATAAAATGAGATGTCTGTTGAGGACGTCACAAAATGGCGGTATGACAACCTTTTTTATCAAAAGTGTACACTATATGCATGCTTTTAAAAAAGTAACAAAAATTGAAGAATGTAGCTAAGGGTTTAAGACTTCCTTCATATAACTCTTAAACCCACTGGTGACACTAAACACGAAGTCACATTGCTCCGCCAAGTATAGAAATTGATAATGGCTAATGAAGGCGTATGCTTAATAGGGAAAAAGGAACATTTTAATCGCCGTTGCTGATTAATTTAAATTTATGATTATATATCCTTGTCTTTTTGTTGAAATTCAGCAATCATTTTATCAACTTTTTTTGTTTATTTATCTTTTTCTTTATTCATATGTATATGAAATTGAAACAAGGCAATACCTTTAGATCATCTAAATGTATATAATTCTGGATCCTCATTTTCCCCATATATCGGTTTTTATATTATCCTAAAATAGTAAAGGGAGAATTTCTTACCTTAACTGGAGTTAGTACACGTAATTGGTCCATTTAACTATAATTTTTATACCATTATTTATTTAAGCAATTGTATTTAAGTTGGAAATCGCAGCAAATAAACTACCCTGTAATCGTACTTCAACTGAAAAAGCTCATCATAACGGACATAAAGATGTCTGAGACACAACTTTAAGGCTTCTTCTCCTATGTCTGTTGGGCTTTTAAGGCGTACAGGGTTTCACTGTAGTACCTGCACATGACACACGTTTCTCTGGGCGTACTTACGTGTAGATATAAAAACCAGTGACTGTAAAGTAAGCAGTGACTGTAAAGATTTCATGAGGTGCTCCGTGGATAAGCGGTGCAGCAGTAGCTACTAAGACTCATCAAAACGGGTGCTGAGACGTCTGAGACACGACTTTTAGGCTTCTTTTCAGATATCTACAAGGGTTTTTAGGCGTACACGTTTCACTGTAGCTCGTAAAATACATAGTTTCTCTAGATATAGAATGAAGTGGATACAAAAACCCATGACTGTAAAGATTTCGTGAGGCATTTGGAAGGATAAGCGGTATATATCAATAGCCACTACAGATTAATCACCCATCACGAATATCCATATCACGGCCTTCTTGGGGATGCGCCTCTCTTTTTAACGTGTAGACTCTAACAATACTAAAATGACTATATACTTACTTTGTGAATGTTATGACTCCAACCTTGGCTATGTCTTCCTTTATGATATTCCATGTTTTAACGATGATCTTCTTCTGATCTTCATTTACAAATGGTACGTCTGCTTCTGATGGCCTGTTCTTGGGGTTAAGATGTTTTTGCGTTTCTGTACTCCCCGTGCTTGTTTCCTGAATATCAGCGTCGTCGCTTTTGGTCGGTAACTCCGCGTCTTCCGTCTGTACATACTTGTGAGCGTGCCCGTTCGCTTGTCCTTCACTTGTGGAGGCGGTGACCGGTTCCGTACATTTTGGGCCATTGACGGGCTTTTTCGAGAACTTGCCCTTTGAAATATGACTTCCCATTTTGAAGTTACTTTTTCACGACTCCAAAAGCTATAATTCACCAAATTTACACACTTAGTCAAGGGCGGTTTTTCAGATCTGTGCACCGACTTATCTCCAATAAACGTAATTGAAACCACAAGGCAAGGTATTTATAAGATCTGAGGCTCAACATGTACGAGTATCTCTCAACTCGATAGCTCGATATATGACAACAATGCGGGCCGATCAATAAGCTGTTTACTTGGTGTCTTCCGTCAATATGACTGCACGTTTCCGTGTTAAACAACTCTGGCCGACAGCCGATGCTGTCATTAACCAGAAAAATCCTCTAATCCTGTATCCAAGAACAGTCTGTGAAAAACTATGACTTCCTTCATGTTGACTGAAACGAAAAAGCAATTTATTAATTTGCGTTTAATATGTCTTACGCAGTGTTAAAATACAGTTTCGTTACAACGCGGAGGATGTTCTTTTAATGAGACTAAAATGTGTAAAAGCACGTGGACTTTTGGGAATCATTGAAAGGAAGATCAAATAGAAACCCTGACCACAATTGTCTCTCGGATGGCTTAGGTCTGCTACGGTCCAATGATTGCCTGATTGCGAGAGTCAGAATTGGATTCAACTGAAAGCAATCTTGTGTTCTTCGGTTTTTATTATTTCATAGGCCTACGCAAATGTAAGTCACTGGAATCAATATGAAAAGAGTCTCTCATTCGTTATTAATGTGAAACACTTCTTCAGGGCATAAAATTTTTAACGGCACAACAATGACGCACCAACCAACCCCAGTAAAGTGTTAAACCGAATTTACATGTATTAGCTATTGCACAAAGGTCCATAATAATGTCAACAGATCGGGTAAATAAACACACACACACACACACACACACACACACACACATATATATTTTTCACTGAGATTTGCTCTATCCGCCCACCACCATTGTGATTGACGCGAGTTGAATGCCATGCGATAGAGTTCCTTTGGCTAGAGAACGCAATCGCGTGGCTTGTTGGCCGTCACAACACGACTGCAAGTGATCTTGATGAAACCGGATACCAGACCCTCTCAGGCACCTGCATTTTTAACTCAGAACTTGAGTGTATCATGCAGCTGCATTCTGTGTTGCCACTGCAGATCTACATGTTTGCTGGTAAAATGTTTCCTCTATTTTCAAGCTGTATCATTACAGCCTCTTTCACAACTGCAATAAAATGAGTGATAAGACGGTTGTTACAGACTATGTGGTGTTGCGATGTGTCTAAACTATTAAAAACAAAAAGGGACCTATTCAACACCAGACATCTATTGATATAATCCTAAGTGAAAAACAATAGACGTCTGTTACGTTTGGTGTTGAACAGAAAATTCCAAGGTCGACATTTGTCATTAAAACATATTTGATTTGCAAAGTCTATTAAAAAGGGAAGCTCGTGAAATGTCAGAGAACGATCACTATATCCTATATCGATTTAATAAAATCATATTATCGAAAGCTCATGTATACATGAAAGCTCATACATACATGTATACAGGCCCCTGTTTCACCAAAAAAAGAAAAAAAAAACTTTAGAAGTCGACTTTGCAAAGATGACTTTGCAAAGTCACTTAGTCACGTGCGGTCTTTGTAACCTTTTTAGCCAGGGAACTGACATAAGAAACCTGCACCAGGTTATGTGACAAAAGATATTGTGGTATGGCGTAAGTATAAATTGCATTCAGGTGCGAGGCTAAGGTGGAATGCGGATGGTGCTGCCTTGGCAAGGCACGCAGAATCGGTTTTACTTGAAATTATACGGAAGTAATTTGCACTGCCCGTCTCTAATATTGTACTAAGCAGCATTGAAAGGAAATGTTCCCCGGATTCAACTTGTTTTATTTCTTTCAATTTTCATCTTTGTAATCTCTTGGTTTCATGCACATAAAAAAAACGCTATCTTGAAATCAAGTTGCACAAAGTTTGTATGAGGTGCAGTAATGTATCTTGGTTTTAATTTTCACTTGATTATCATTTCCTTTTTTTCAAAATTTTGGCTCTTTTTACTTCTTCATATACTGAAAATTGTTAAATTCGTATGAAATTCAAATTTTTTCATCGGATGCAAAATGCTGCTCTATGTAGACGGTTATACACTTAGTGCCGTTAATTGTAAGCAACAATTTTATACCTGAGGATTCGGTCCGTTTTTAAAACAAATACGTAGATGCCAGTTCATTTAATTTGATAAAAAAGTTTTTGATCATTTTTCTGATCCCTTTGCCCTTCGCCATTGTTATTTTGACATTGAAAACCCTGCATGAATATGTCTTTTTCACAATTACTAAGTGCACTCACATGCATTTTTTGTTACAATATTTCATAAGGTGTGGAATTTAGCTGTCTTAAAAGCTTTTTACAGACTTTTTGACTTTTTAATTTGAGACCACTGGATAGAGATGGAGATATTTTAATCCAACAAAATCCCATAAGCTGCCTCTTATTCATGTCAGTTTATCTAAATCTATCAAACTTAAATATAAAGTTCTGTTCCATAAGGCCGATTGCAATTGATGGTGACAGAAACCCTGGATCGCAAGTTTATTGCGCTGCAAGAATTCAAACTAACTGACCAAATTGTGCATTGGATTTTAAGTAGAAAAACATTGTGTCCTTAATCTACTTAACGTCGAATATACAGCAGCTGTAATAGAAGGGATTCAACCCTCAGCTTTGAAGGCGATACCTATATCTTTTGACCAGGCTGGCTGGCTGGCATCATAGGTTATCTAAAGAACAAATAAATCAGTGATGGTCCGTTATTCTACTGTAAGAGAGGATATGTTTCACCTTTAAATTGAATGTAATCAACGCACTCTATACGCGGCTCATCTTTTATTGGAATAAAGCAATTCTAAATAGGAATCGGGTGCTACATCCAATTTGAGTTAAACAACATATACCTCAATATGTATTGATGATGTTTTAACATCTTTTCGAAAATCTTTTGAACGGCGTTAGCTTTATTCAGTTTCATCAATTTGCTAAGTAATGAAACACACGGTAAATTGAGGTGCGACGAATACTGCCAGTAGGTTCTGAAGACAAGCAATTAAAACCCAATCACAATAACCTTTTGTAGGGAGATAATGTTGGAAAGTACGTCCTGATGTCAATTTTAATACAGTATCTACATACTACTCAAAGACTCCTTAATTTATATTCCCACGTTATTCATTTTTCTATAAGGAGGATTGATCAGTTCAATACCAATAGTTCAGTGTTAACCTTCATATCCATAGAATATCCCTAGAGTGCATGCTCCCAAAATTGATAAATGTCTTAAGCCAAGGGCGGAAAAGGGGGCCAAAATTAAAAAAAGAAATATTAAGTCCCACACTGGGGCATGTTTCTGATGACTTAAAGCAGTTTCAACTATTGTCTATATTCATTATTGTTCCCCTGTCTGCAAACAACTCACTTTTTGGATTCTCAAGGGAGTCAAACCTTTCAGAAATACTGGTCAGACGCAATTGCGCTGGTTTTAAAGATATGCTAGCCTAGGTTTGTTAAAGACTTCTCGTCCACATAATCATTGCAAATGCTTTCGAGACAGTTCAAATGAAAGTTCATTTTCCCAATCGATCATTAAACAAGATTAAATCTTGTTATCCTTTTTATCTATGATTATGTTATCATTAGCACGTTATATGCGATTTATCACTTCTTATAAATCTCAATCAATTTCAGAAGCGAAAAGAACTATCAACGGCGGAGAGATGGTTAGTCACAGCACATCTTATTCATTGGATGCTATATCAGTGGTCAGGATATTTGTTATAGGTGGATTATCCTATATCCATATGAGTGTTTTACGAAATGTCTGTTGCCAATGGTCACTTTAAATGAACAGGTTAATTGCATTCACAGCAAAAATATAAAACTTCATATATATATATAACGCATTGTTCTGAGCACGCCCGCCTTTTATTTTTACAAGGTTCTAAGGTAGTTTGTTGGTTGACAATTTGGTGTGCTACCAACCGAAGAAAATATCGATGAAATCCCAAAAGATGTTTTAATTATGTTATCAAGCACGCAATGTCCGCCAACACACATTGAAAGAAACAGATGAAACGCGAACTATTGTTTTTGCATATTTTGCCCATATGTTTTCATAGGAAATGTGTTGTTTTTCAATCCAAAATAAATTTGCTAAAATATTTCATTTAAGTGGCGAATTGCAACTAAACAGTGAAGAACACATTCACATTAAATATGGACCGTTTGGATTCCTCGGGACAAAGTAGATAAATGGAACAGATCAACACCCTATGGATAAGTAAGAATTCAATTGCTATCTACAGCGGCAATATCAGTTTCAGTGGAGGTATAGAATATATGTGTCATATATGCAGTTATTAACTCTATAAGGAACTGACGAGAAATAAGATCTCGTGTAGAGAGTGTGTTAGGTCGACTTTGTAGTAAAACCATTGTAAATGTTCTACGTGTAAGAATTGCCCAACACCTTGGTCCTATCTCGATGTCATCGTACTATAATAAGGTGTCTATACGACGGCATTGCAAGTGTTTCACGATTACAATCGTGTTGCCTTCCATTAGGCAATCGGAAAGCTTCTTGTTTTTTTTTTCGTATGTCTTCGTGGGGCGAAAATGCTTGATGGCACCAATAATAAAGACAATGATGACGCAATTCGACAAAATGCTTCTCGATGGCCTCATGAAAACCAACTTGGACACAGAGGTTCAACAGAAGACGAACCTTTCTGAAGTTTTTTCGAAATTTGTGGCACTCTAGGTATTTCACGAAGTTGCCGCCAAGAACCCAAACTCCACCGGTGCACAAACTATGGCTTATGCCATTTAATATCCCCCACGAATAGCCTGATATTTTTAGATCAGAGACAAATTTGAACATTTCTTTAGCGTGTGCCCATTCGGTGTACAATTGCAGGAGAGTGTGACGCATGCTTAACAAGCAACATTCCTACATGCGTGCCGACATGGCCTTGTTAGGGAGAAGTTCGTTCCGCAAAAAGGGAGAGAGATAACAAATCAATAACATTTCTAAGTAAATCTGATAAACTACAAGGAACAAAAATAACAATATGAAACCATGAACACGCATATCATAGCTCTTTATAATAGAATTGTCTCTTTTATAAAACGTTTTTGTTGAAATCATCGATCAATACAAAAAAATAAAAGATCAACTTACTGCTACCATTTTGCAGCATCTGTATCCTCGTGAGAGTTTTCAGAACATGCACGCAAGTCACCAAAGCAAAAAGAAAAAAAGAAAATGGATTGGCCATAAAAATCATCTAATAACATAGGCAACGTTATCTTCATTGCACACGCATTCAAAACAATAGCC